TCTTTGTTCACGTCTCAGACTGGACTCTATAGCATTGACCAGAAGCCAGTCGGCGAGGGGATTAAACCACGACGTTATACCTACAGCTGTCTGTTGTTGACAGCCTTCTCAGACTTCTGTGCCACTGTAGACACAATTGTGTCTCTAGAGTTGTATTAGTCAACGTTGATTCCACCAGAATGTGGTAAAAAATTACGGAGAGAAAGAGTTAAATTTACTCAGTGCATGCTTGGGGCCATCTCGGCCATGCATTAAATATTTTTTAACTAGCTTACAGAATGTCTAAACGCCATCAGGTTTGAAATTGTGAAGAGAGTTGAGCCGAGGCTCTAGAAACTGTAGGCCAACAAAAGCTCACTTCCGCCAATTAATCAATTAATTAATGGTAATTAATTATTTTATTTGATACCAAAATGGGAAGTTAATTCTTCCCATTCTAGATATGGCTAAATATGTGGAAGTTTTGCCCTTTAGATTATTTTACGCACTATTTCTCCAGACCCATTCTCGGATAAATTTTAAACTTTCCAAAATTATTTATTGTACCTAACAAACATGTATTAATTTAACAAAAATAATTCAGTTTTTTAAAATAAATTTTTAGTAATTAATTATTTCTGTTTGATATCAAAAAAGGGAAATAAATTCAACATTACAATGATATACAGTTTTAATGAGGAGTTCTTCCCATTATGCACGTTTTTCTTTCTTTAATTAAAGTATTTTTATATTTTGCTTGGTTTTTGTTTGTTTGTTTTTTAACTCCTGCTCAAGTCCTGAGTTAACCCTATACCTCCACATAATATAAACCAGTTTTGTATAGTTTTCTTTTATTTCGGTAGTAAGAGTGTATTACGCATGACGTCTGGTCCACAGTTTGTATACATGAGGGCAAAGTTCACCTGGACAAGTCAAGATGGACATCGGTCAAAGACATGTGTCAAGAGTGTACATGCCAGGTTTGGTTCTTTTTATTTTCCCAGTGTCAAGCCTTCCTTCAAACAGAAGATGATCAAGTCCTAGCCATTGTGTTGGTTCTGTTCTTCCTTGTAGATCATGTTGATGATTACTTAACTATAATCATTTATTGGGGCGCGGTGGCTGAGTGGTAAAGCGCTGGGTTCGAATCCCGGTTAAAAACAGTTGTTGTTTTTTTAAATTTCAGGATCTTTAGTGCACGTCTGAATCATAATACAATTGAATCAAAGTACAATTGAATCATAATACAATTGAATAATAATACAAGTGAATCATAATACAGTTAAATCATAATACAATTGAATAATAATACAAGTGAATCATAATACAGTTAAATCATAATACAATTGAATCATAATACAGTTAAATCATTATACAATTGAATCATAATACAATTGAATCATGAGACAATTGAATCATAATACAGTTAAATCATAATACAATTGAATCAAAATACAGTTTAATCAAAATACAGTTGAATCAAAATACAATTGAATCATAATACAGAACCGATTTAAAATCAAATATAAAACATGTTTTTACTTACACTCTAAAAACGTTATAACACTACGTAGTAGAGATCTCAAACCTGTACTAATGACGCGGGTAAAACAGTTTTGAGAACACTGTTCTAAACATTAACTCCATTTCCGGGTGTTTAACCAAGCTATAAAGTATTTGTAAGCTTTTTTTTGTAAACGCCTGCTTTCCGAATATGTTTGATTTGTACGTACGCCCCTTCTCAACTGAAGACTATATCGTCCTAGTTGAAGTGACGTCTGTATTTTATAAGATAAGTTCGAACCACCTGCAGGACGGCGGGTGATGGCAGCGGACAGGGATTGAACTCGGGACCAGTGTGACGGCAGGTTGATGGTTAACATGCACGACTAGATGCATGACGCGTAGGACGTAATCGTCTTCTTTTTTTGTAGTAACGTCTGTATAATATAAGATAAGAATATAAGATAAGAGCAGACAAATAGAATGTTTAGTAGAGTAAAAATGAATTCCATATCTCGATAAACTACATGTTTAAATGAAGGATAAAGCCAGTGTAGATGTAGATTCTATAGCTAGGTCTATAACTGTTCAAGTCAATGTCATTAAAAAAATATATATTGTCAAAGGTAAACTATTGACCTAAGAGATTATGTAACATTTTAACCTAGAAATATCTATAGGCCTAATTCTCTTCATGGCCCAACCATGCCTGACATCACCAAAAGTCATGGAAAGATAACTCTTTTTATTTCTGCAAGTCACGCAGGGCCGGCCATAACAATCGCGGGCCCTATGCGAAACGGTTGCGCTGGGCCTAGTATGTGAAATTTGTTGTACGTTGGTTCTGTGGTGTAGCGGTTATCACGTCTGCTTTACACGCAGAAGGTCGCGAGTTCGATCCTCGCCAGAACCTCGGTTTTTTGTTTTGATTTATTTTAAAATGCAATAAAATTAAATTAAACTTAAAATCAATGTCTAAATAATCTTTTTACACAGCTCACTTTGTCTGTCTGTCCGGCTGTCTTGTAAAAAGTTGAAACACGCTATTTCTCCCACACTCATTCTCGGATCAAGTTGAAACTTGACACAAATATTTATTAGCTTAAACAAGACATGAATCAATAAAAAAAAGTATCCAATTAGTTAATTAATAACTAGTAATTAATTATTTTGTTTATTATTAATAAGAGAAATTTATTCTTCATTAATCACAGATATATGTAGGGTTTTGTCCCTTTTAATCAGGGGTCCCAATTGTGGGTAGCATGACAAATGGCCAGGGGTCGCCTAAGACCCCCGGAAATTAGGATTTTGTTTTTTCATCAATGGAAGTTTTTGTGTTGTTGTCCATTCTATCGTGCTGTAACAATTGCAGACTCTTTGGCCCACCAGGGAGGGCAAATATTCCACCCACTGATCAGGCTGTAAGCTTTCACCAAACCCTGGCTATAATACAAAAAACAGAAATGGAAAAGTGGTTTGAGTGCTCGGACAAGTCCCAGAAAGCTCGTAGAGTCTGGGAGCGCATGAGGCGCCCTGACCGCACTTCCCCGTGGTGGAGGCTGTCCAGGCCTGAGCAAGCTATTATAGCACAGTGCAGGATTGGCCACTGTCCTGTTGGGTCATATTTCTCGCGGCTATGGCCAAATTTTGATCCACGGTGCCCACGCTGCGGGGAAGAAGAGGAAACCGTGCCTGATATTCTGTTTGACTGCCCAAGACTTGCTGATCTCTGTCTCGACAGGTCTGGGAAACCCAAAATTCTCGACCTGTATGGCGACATTTATGCACTACGCAAGACAGCAGGGTTTCTGTCCAGGGCTTTTGCAAGAGAGGATTTAAGCCTCTAAAGCCCTCACTCTAATGGAGTTTGATGATAATGATCGTGCTGTAACAAGCAGATCTGAACCGTAACCTACAAGGTCTTGAAACTAGTTCCTATCCTGTTCTTTTTTAGATTGTTTTCATCTTCCATTTCCAAGAACAAATCCTTGCGAAACAAAGTTTTCCAGCTTGTTATGAAATCCAAATTCAGAAACAGACTTGATGCAGAAGATGACATTCGTTGTGCTACTGAATGTCCTGATCTGGTGGAAAAGAAACAAGCTCAACCTTCGCACTACCATTGGCGTGTTTGTAAATACTTTCGAAACACTATTTCTGTAACAATGTGGTTTACTGTATCGAAGACTGTTCTCCATACTTCGCCATATTTGTCAAATTGTCACTAAAGTATGCAACATGTATCTTTGTAGACAACTAAATAAATGTAAGGCTGAATAATAACCCATTTAAATTTAATTATGAGCACAAATTTATATATCTTAGGGATTATATTTGGGGTCGTGGAACTAGAAAGGCTAAGAAACGCAGCCTTAGATAATTGAACACATTATTTCTCCCATTCCCAATTAAAACTTAAAACAAATGTGTGTGGTGGGTTTGGCACAGAACAAACTAAATGACATGACGAAGGCAACTCGTAGGACGGTTCCAAACTGTTTATTATACATTAAAAACCTGCCAAAGGCAAACATAAAACATAATTACAAATGAACATAAACTAAACATAATTAATAGGCCTAAATACTAGATCTAACGAAAAACAAAAAGAAAATCTTATAGTGTGAACCAATCATCTCTTTGACAAACACAAGAGAGATATGGAACACCAACAAACATTATAAAAATAAATGACAACATAGTTCTCTAAAAATAAATCCACTAGTTGTTCTACATAACACTAACATATATATACATTGTTTGAAGAGTTCGCTCTTTCCTTTCCTTACAAAAACTCTAATTAAATATAACAAATCTGTACACTCACAAATATACTGTTTCTTAAAAGCCCAGTATCTAAACACTTGATGTAAAAATACATTTACAAGATGGACAGTGAACATTCTATATAGAATACTAAATAAAATTACAATCTAATATAAATAAGTAAAATGTGATTACCTGCAGCCATACGTAAACACATGGTGTAGAACCAGGCACAAAAGGGAGTGGAGACGACGTAGGTCCAGTAACATACGGACACTACAGTGACAAAAGATGCCGGTGGAATGGTTGTCTGCCTTTTTATGCGCGGACACAAGGTGCAATCTAGGGGGAAAAGGTATCCACTCCACTACATGTGTATAGTACTTAACCCTTAAAACGCTTGTGGTAGTTTGGCCTTTATATATCAGAATTGTAATTCCATTTTGTATGCACTCATTGTAAAACATCTCAGCACTTTAAGGGTTAACAAAATATGAATCAATTTAAAAATTAACCATCAGTCAATTAATTATTCGTAATTAATTATTTTGTTTGAATTCGAATAAGAGAAATAACTCACACATTTTTTAGAGGTATAGCTACAAATGTCCAGCTAGAGCTTTTAGATAACCTTTTTTTTTTTAAATTAATTTTTTTTTTACCTTGTTTGATTGGTATTGCCAAAGTGAAATTATTATGTGATAAGTTGCACTAGGATCTGAAACTTGAATTATAAATAACTATAAAGTTTAGAGGGTTCTGTGGTGTAGCGGTTATCACGTCTGCTTTACACGCAGAAGGCCGCGAGTTCGACCCTCGTTTTTTAATTTCTTAGAACACCTCCAATTTTTTTATTATTATTTTTTTTTTTTCACATTAAAAGGAACAAATGGAAACAAAAAAAAAAAAAAACTTTTTTTTTTATCAACAGAAAGAGTAAAATGGTAACTCCGAATCTGTGATAAAGTAACTGGCCATTGAAAAAGAAATTTTCAAAGATAGAATAATGGTTCAACTTCAATCTCTACATAGCCAACAATGAGAAATATATTATCTTATCTTATAAACTAAGAACGTTGCCATATGTTCAGACAACGGTACTTGTATTCAGTTGTCCTAGCAGATATATTTATTTCAACTTTTCAACCTCTTAAGCAGGGGCGTAGCTAGGAATTTTCCTGGGGGGGGGGTCTTTTTGGGGGGGCCCTGAATTATGCGTAATATTTTATTTCTAATGTAAAAAACACTCCTTTGGGGGCTCCCAAGTGGGGGCCCGGGGGATTTTTTAATTCTCCCTCCTTTTTTCCCCTCCCCCCATTAGCTACGACACTGGACTCTGAAGACATTCTTTAACAATATTAATATCTGAGAATTAACAATTTGAAATCTCTATAGCCAAAGGGAAGTAACTGTGTTTTACATTTCGCTCAATACATATAGGCCTACGAACTATTTACTAATACTAGTATTACAATAAAATATAACAAAAAGGGTAAAAAAAAGATTGCTGAATATTTTTTCGCTTGTTTATTACTATTATTATGTTAGAAGCGAACGAGTAGTCATTCTCTGGCGCTGCCAGGGTCTAGTTTCGCTAAAGAGAAACAAAATTCATTGTAGTCCCTTTACCAGTATCTACCGACAAATTTTCACATATATCGGCCTAAGTCTGTCTATTTCATGTAGGTCAGTGTCAATCCGTTTTATGTTAACTATAATGACAGGGCGCAATATATATATATATATATATATATAATCAATATCAAATGAATTCATTGCATCAGACTGTTATTAGATCCAAATAAAGGGCATTTCTTAATGAAAGTTAATTCATGTAAAAAAGTGAAGTTCCCCTTACAGACCTTGCGATCTATGCGGCAGGTCATCTGTTTCTATGGCCAACGGTTAACAAGCAGGGTGCCATGTAGAAGCACAGCGACCAACCGCCTTTTTTTTCCCCTAACCAAAGTCAGGTATCTGTTAGAGTTTGGATGGACTTAGGGCGCCCTAAAAATCCTGAAATTCAAAAACTTATTATCTTATAAATTACAGACGTTACTTCAAAGAGAAGATAATTACGTCCTACGCATTTCATGTGTCGATCTAGTCAATCTTCCCCGACATCTGAACCCAGAACGCCAAGTGCTTAAGCACTCATTCACCGCGACTCCTTCCTAATGAATTTAGATGGTGTTATTGAGTTGCACCTAATGTGCCATTTAAATTTAGACATTCTAGATTGTGTAACTTATCAAATGTGTTTTCTCCCAGGAGGGCAAAACCACATGTCACGATTCACCCTGCGACTGTGCCAGCCCCTCGGTCAATCTTCGATGCTGCCCAAGTTGTGACTCCAGCAGCACGTGCCCACACCAGGAGTTCCTGGTCCACCAGCAGAGTGGAGACACTTGGTTCTATCAATGTCAGAGATGCAAGTGTATGGTAAGGGTTCAAAGCCACATACAATTCATTTCGCTAGTACACAAAACAAAGTAAATTTCACTTGGGGACAAAATAAAAGGGCAGGCAACTCATCCGAGATAATCATTATAGAAAGTGTAAAACAGTGACTTCGCAATTTGTGGGCAGTTTAGACCAATAGCTCGTTGCCACAGCTAGGACGTCAGACCTGTGACGTGGCAACGAGCTATTGGTCCACAGGCTACGACTGCGCATGATCTTATGGCTGCCTGGTCGTGCTGTTTGCGCGCTGGATTGTCGTTTGGATTTATCGATGGTCTCGGGTTCAGACCCTGCCCTCTCCCATCCCCCGTCGTCCTACGGAAGGTTTGAACTAGGAAGTAAATTATCTTCAACTCTGAAGGAACATCCGAAACATGTCAAACATTAAACAAAACATTTTTATCTTGTCTGGACCGATTTGGAAAAGAGAAAAGGAGTCAGGAAGATGGGATATTTGTATGACTGATGCCGTGATCGCTTCGAATGTATATAAAAAGGCACTTGTTCACTCTGGGCCCAAGCCTTTTCAAGGGGACTAATTCAACTTATACTACCACATCTGTCAAGTACGATTTCTTTCCCTTGCTCGATACCAAACACAATAACAATTTAGAAATAGTTAATTAATTTTTTAAATTGATTCTTGTATTGTCAGGTAAAAGAAATAATTGTGCGAAATTTCTACTTGATCCGAGATTGGATGTGGTAGAAATGACAGACGTAAACATTTTACCAGACAGACAGAGTGAGTTGATATAAGCTTTGTAACAATGTGCTGGTTTCTATCTATCAGCAGGGAGAAACTAGCTGCTGGCCAATCAACTGTCCTCAGCAGACTTGCCAGAACGCTATCCAACGTCCTGGGGATTGCTGTCCTGTTTGCGCCGACACTAACCCCTGCGCTGCTTGGGCGATGGAGACAGGAGGGCAGGACCTCTCGCAATTGTCTTGCTCGTATGCAGGGGTCAGTTACTCTCACGGAGATGAGTGGACTTTGCCCTCTGACCTTTGCACCAAGTGCCAGTGTAAAGTAAGACCAGGCTGACTAAACTTTTGTTGGTTGTTGTTTTTAAAAATCACTCTTGAAGATAAGATAAGATAAGATACGATAATTTTTATTGATCCAATCAAATGGAAATGAAGTTTGACTACAATTGACAACAATTTTGACAACATATTCAGTATTGCGACAAATTTACTATTCCCGAACCTCTGACATGGAAAAATATTAGGCAAATTGCCAGGGGCGGACTGGCTATATGGGCTTTCGGGCAAATGCCCGGTGGGCCGGTACCTAAATGGTCCGGTAAGTCCACCTAAAGGGCCTCACGACAAGTATTGAATCGTTAAAGGTTTTAAAATATTCTGTTGTAAAAGAGGGCCTATGAGCGTCGTGTTTAAAAAAAACAAACAATTTTAACAGACTCTTACAATGTAATGCTAATTTAATCGATCACATTTTCCGAAATAATGTAATAGCCAACACCGTAGAAGGCCTCATCCTTAAAGGGCCAACATACTTAGCGATGAAAAGCAACAACATAAGTCCTATATTAGGACTATATAAGTCTTATAAAGATATAAAGTTTTACTGTATGCATGCGTAAAGTTATCGATACATTATCAAACTAAACAAAATGATTTCTAGGACAGGTAGACCTAGTATTGGATGCCCATTATATAATATTCAAGTTTTGGGCCCTATTCTGTGCAGGTCTGTATATCCATTTTGATATCCAGTCCGCCCGTGCCTATAGCCAATAGAACACGTATTATATGAAGGTGTACTTGCCTTGTTTAATTTCGAGGAAGGCTCGTTTCTATCCGGCAATCTTGCTGTTTGTGCCAAATCCGATTTTGACATTTATATATATTTTTTTACCGTTACATCATTTTCTATGATTGCATTAGTGTTCTTTTTTTTTCTGTTGCTAGTTTGGATAATATCATCTGACATTACTTCCCCTTAACCACTTCAGAACTACGATGTACAGTCACAGGCGTAGCCGAAGGTGCCCCCCCCCCCCGCACAATTTAAATAAAAAGAAACTGAAGCGAAATTATAAGTCACTAAAGTCCATGAGAGTAGACAACACCCACAAACACCCAGTAAAAATTTGCTGTGCTCCAATGATACAGCAAATCTACGAGAATTCGAGGTGCACGCAGTGTCGAGTAAAGCAAACTACTTTAAACCAATTCCTTAATTCCATGGGGGGGGGGGGGGGGGGGGGGGGGGGGGGGGGGGGGGGGGGGGAGGTTCAAAGCAAAATTAAAGTTAACATATTTGAGCGTAACAATGGAAGTGGGAAGGGGGGGGGGAGGAGGCTCAATGTTTCACACTGTGATCTGTTTTTTCCGACCATTATGCGAGACTCCAAGCCGACAGCCTAAGAAAAACTTCATCAATTTACAGTCTTTGAAATCCATGGGCGTAGGTGTGTGGCGTTGGGGGATGAGGCCCAAACCTCACCCAAATAAAAACATTTGGTCTGTTTTCCTTCCTGTCACTGGGCTCTATTAATAAAGTTCAGTAATGATTAGATTTTGATAACTGACCTGCATATTTTTTGGTTAAAATAATAGCAGGTTGTTGTGTTCTAGACACCTTTAAAAGAATGCATTTTCGAAGTTCCAAATGTCTGTGTGTTTACAAAAAAAAATCTTTGTTACGCCAATGTGAAATCTAGACAAACATTGACAAACAGATGTTGAAACACTAATTGTTTCTGCTTGACTTTTCAGGCTGGCCATATCTGCTGCAGTGCTATTCAAGCGTGTGGCGGTTCCAAACCGAGGTTTTAACACTTTCGTGAAAAGCTGCTTGATTCCATGGATTCACAAAATGAGAATGTGTTTTTTTTTGGACAGTAACTACGTTTTCTTCTTGCTTGAGCTATAAATGTAGATATGTTAGCATTTAGACATTATTGGACATTTTCATACATGGCGGGAAAACTGAAAATAGCAAGCTTTTTGGACGTGTCGATAAGCAATGTATTTAAAGTTATAATATATTTGTTTTGTGCTCTTTTTCGAAACAAATGTCTAACTTCCTCCGATTATAGTTTTTACTTTGTTGTCCAAACAATTTAGTGTCCTTGACATTGGTTAGTTTATCTTGTAAAAACCTCAATATGTGTATTGAAATATTGTATTTGTACGATCTTTACAGTTTCTTGGTTGTTGTTTTTTTTAAATCTCATGTATCAGAATTTTAATGACCTTATCATAATTATTTTTTGGAAAAACAAACGTATTAGCTTGTCTTGCTTAATGTGGAATCCAATAACACATGATGTTCAAAGATGTTCCATCCAGACTGAGTCGTCTGAGTTTGAGTAAAAAAATGTTTGTTTTGTAAA